TCAATCTGCTGAAGCACGCAAGCAGATATTGACCATGCTACATAGATGAATGGCTTTTGATCTCCTGTTCGAAGAATGATTCCACTAATAGAAAATCTTCTAACTGAATGAGCGTTTGTTCATTACTCTAATTCACTTTCTTTGTATCAGTTCAGTGAGGCTGTAAACAGGCCGAAACGAAGAGCTGTACAGCTCATGCCTGTAAACGTCATTTCTGAAACCGCGCTTTATGCAATGTAAACGCCGAAGTCGGAGATCATTCATCCCTTTTTCATTACGTAATTTTCAATACAATGACGAAACAGGAGATTAGTTTTACGACCCTTTGGCATCGATAATATAATGGCCGTTTTGCTGCACAACATTTTTATCGTTTAACAGTGTTTCCGCTGTTCATGGGCCTGTTGTAAATATTATTTAACTATGTCGATATGCACTTTGCTGAAATGCAGATAAAGTGAATGCGAGACGATCAGCAAGCATCCAAAATAGCATAGACTCGTAAAATAATTCGTTAAATACAAAACATACAGCAGAATAAATGAAATGCAGTATTGAATATGAGTTACTGAAAAATTGCAATTTTTTCATTTAAATTTTAGGAACGAATTTTAATTACATTCATATACTAAGCAAACGCAACGCGGACGGGTCTCACATTTTAGCGCTCTGGTATACGGTATGGATCAATAGGGATATAAACGTACTGGCGCCCTCATTATAATAATATGAGTTAAACATGACATTCAACGTTCCTTGGAATCTTGGGAACTTTTCGTAAATGTAACCACTGAAGTAAGCTTGCAAACCTACTCTTGTCCATTGTGTTAAGAAAAAATACCTTCCCTGATGGTGCAACGACTGATAAACGTTGACAGAAAAAAATAAACTAAAGTGAAACTTAAAGCTGTTGAAAAGAGATGCATATGGAGCCGTCAACAAAGGCAATGGCTTTCCCAGTGCATTTCTACAGTGATTTGATCGATATAAACCTGTAGTATAGATGGCAGCATATCACAACATAGAGTCCATGCTATAGGGAAAACACTATTTTGTTCAGCTCTTTATTAGCATTCGCAAATCATTAGTTAAATAACAGGTTCGCGAAAATCTCGTTTCAAACGCTTTTTTTCAATGTAGTATGTGTTCTTCAAAGCGACCTAGTCTCCTTTTCCTCTTCGATTTTAGCATAAAATGTTTGTAATTTAAATACGCAATTTCATTTTATTACTTAAACACTTCATTTCGGATTCATGGACTCCGTGATCGCTCTCAAGTCCGTAGCAAAATCCAAAACGATCTTGAATCTCAACGTGAAAAACCACCTGATGGACGGGACAAACCTAGAGTAGTTTCGTTCTCATGTTTTTGGATGACGTACTCTATTTCAATGCGGAGCCGTGGCTTTTCCCAATGCGTATATAAGAGCTTTGACCTTGTGCATTGTACCAAGGGTATGGTGATGAGTTTATTATTGGAAATTTTTTGTTCACAAAGCACCGTTTAAGTACATAGCAAGGAATACCATGCTTGGCTGATGTGTAAGTTTCTTCTTACACGAAGGTACCGGATTTGCCCTGCGAAATCTATAAATTAAAATTACCTGCTCTACAGCGATACTGTAGCAATGTAATACGGGTGGTTGGCAGCTGCGACTCATGATGCTTCCTATGCATTCAGGCGCTTAAATATCACGGAGTCGTAGTCTGCGTAAATAGTCCATGTTGCCGCCAAATGAAAAGGGGACAGTATGATGTTGCTGCATGAACCGACGTAATGACTACCATACGTCGTATAGTGTCATGGAATCACTGTAAAGTAGCTTCATTCTATATTTCTCGACGGGTAAATCCGGAGTCAATAGCTAAAAGGTAATTTCTGAAGATCTGATGTTTTGAACGCTTTGCAGTATGTTTTGCACGTTAATTATTTAATAGTACTGTTAGCAGATTTATTTGTTCTATTTTTATTGTTATTTACTTGTTGTTCAACTTCTCATTTATGCTGCAAACCGGAATTCCCTATCCAAAATATTCAAGTAGCATATATACCGGTTTGTTTTTTGCCAAGGCAACGTGAAACCTCATATCACGTTTTCCCAGATTGTGGATAATAGAATAACTCTAAGATGTAGGCTAGCTGCGAAGTAAGCCAGGAAAATAGGGAACAATGTGATAGCAATGCAAAACAACTGTTAAGATAATTGGCTGAAAGAGCGTTCATCATCCTTACTGGCACGTTTTTAAAATTAACTGCCAGTGAATTGGTTTTGTGTAGTTGTGCAAGTTTGGAACACAATATCGACTTTTTACCATACACTGATTGACAACCAAAAAAATCCGGTCGTGGAATAAACCATAACGGTTGTTTCCCCCTTCAATGATAGGAATCATGCAGAAGTTTTGAACCTTCGAACGTAATAAAAATAATAAAATGTGGCTGACCGATTTACAGAAGCCTTCGAAAAATTTTTATAAATCATTCTACTCCCATCCGACAAAACAATAAATTAAAATGAATAAATTTCGTTTTGCCGTGCCTTTTAGTAAGTACTTCCTCAGTACGGGTATCTTGGCACTGTTAAAGGAAATGCAGCAAATCCGCTGTGCATGTTTCCAGTAATTAATGCGTACAGTCTTAAACCATGATCAACAGGCACCATTTTAAAATGGCTGTCTTTGATGAGACTTCATTTCAGAGTCAGTCCAAAACAAATCTGATATTGCATTCAAGCATCCCAGGAAGCGGATAAATTAGAGGAATTTACTGGACCAAATACAATTTGGAAAAAACCTTGGCATTTGCCGTCGCAGAACGACTCGGCTATTACAAACGAAGACGGATGAAATTATATCAAATATAAAAGAATGCAATCCAGATTTCAATTTCAACGTTTCACACCATTAGAGCCGAAGCGAATCAAAAATGACCAGCTCGATTGCTTCATTGTACCACGGCCAATGTAAAGCGACGCTCTGTGACAGAATTCAAGAATTCATCAGCAATGGTTTGATGTCGATCAGGTTTTCCTCGCAGCTGCCTGAAGACAGACGATGGACTGCCATTTCATTTATTCCATGGTAATGAACGAAAGCGGCCATGACGACACAAAGGTGAAAAATCTGATGCGACTGGAACTATAGAACGAAATACAAAATTTTAACACAAAGAAATTTAGTAAACCTTAAAAAATACAACTACTAACCCAAATGTCACATTTGCCTGGAAAGAATCGCTCTGGTATCCGCCAAGCGTACAACAGCGCTCCGCCAATATAAAGGACTGCCATCAGAAGCAACCACCCAAGCGATGCTTCGTAGACAGCAGACCAGAATCCATCGGTGATAAAATAATGAACGCACGGAATAATTCCAGAAAGCCCAAGGCCCATAAACAATCCTACAGAAACGTGAGGTAGAAAATCAAAAGGTACCGAAACAGAAACTTTTCATACCTGCTCTAACGGGTCGGAATCGAGGAGTCGAAAATTCGTCCCATAAAGAGACAGTCACACAGACAGTTCCAAAAAGTAGTATTAGGATGATATAAACGATTTTGGGTTCTCGCCGGCAATAAAAGCCATAAAATAACCAAGGAACGAACGATCCCATGATCAGCAATGAAATTCCACAGTAGTCAAGTCTAAAACGTTTATAAGATAAGAATTTACGAAACAGCAAATTGTTTAACACCTCCAAATACACCGTCAATCTCGGCACTAAAGAGTCACGTGCCTTCTTATTTTATAGCCTTCTTATTTCTTATTTTGTAGACTTGCTATCGGGTTTGAACTGTTTTACTACAAAATTTGGTACACCAATTTACTTTATTTTTATAGTCATTAAAGGATTTCCTCCGTTCAGACATGTTGGATATAAGTTTCTTGTTGGATCATATGTTAACTTTTCAGAGATGATAGTGCATTAAGGATTTTCACAATAAATTTTTAAACTGTATAACATATCGCAGCATGAACAAGAGACAAAGATTTTAGAAAAGAGAAACAGAGCCGGTTAGCGCGTTTTTTATTACATCAAGTACACTCTCGTGGGCAACAATAGGAAAGAAAAACCCGCCCCCCCCCTTCAAGTCTGTCGTTTTCCCTGCGACGTTTCATGGCTATGAAACGTGGCTCATCAAAGCTGATATGCGGCAGCTATATATCACCGAGACAGCCATGGAAGGACGCAACTATATTCCCAACATGGTGATCAGACAGCGACAGACCTCATCGTCAAAAGCAGATTGGAGAACCTGCGGTGAGTCGGGTACGTAGCTCGGCTGTCTGACGGGAGATTGTCGATGATAATCGCTGACTGTTACGCTCGCGAGAAAAGTAGAGCATTTAGTCGCCTACCACGACGGTGATAAGAATACATCAACGGCCAAGGATGGCGCACCTGAGTGGAGAAGGCCGAAATCGTGAGGAATGGCGGGAATGTTGCGACCAGCGCGATTCGTGGTAGATTACTGACCGGTTCAGGTTATTCAGGTGACATGCCACATCAAGAAAAGCATACCCTTTAAAAACTTTCGCGATAAACAATCACACAACGATATATGGAATACAAGCATGATTGTAAAAACCAATTTTATACTATACCTAATATGATGATAAATTAATAATTAACATGCACCATTCTAATTCTTAGCTTTATACTTTACTGCCCAAAAGCACAAAAACCGTATGTCTAAAAACGTAACATTGATTTCCTACAAAACGTACTTGCTGAATATTTTGCCAACTCTTTCTGAATGACACGAAACGGTGTGAAACGCAGATGACAGACCGAGGCAAGAAATTGCGCCGAGGAAGAACGACGAAAACACCAACTTCTCTTGCCACTGGACCTGCACCTCTGGTCGGGTGAGGAAGTAGATCGCTGTACCAACGAAAGCGGCACAACCTATCGAACGAAGCGCGTTACGGCGAGTGATAGGACAACTTATGAAAACTGACCCAACATATGCGACCAGATGTTTCCCGTTTCGGTGTGCAACCGAAAGATTGACTTGAAGCAAGCGTTGAACGATGGCAGCGGTGGTCGGTGGCCGCTGTACAGGAAGTCGTTGTCCTGCAACCACTCGGGAAGCGAATAGAAGTGAGTGGCTTTCCACGAAGCTTCCCAGACCTGGGAAAAACAAATAAACAGAGGTAACAAAAAATAAATAATGAGTAAAGAATACGATGACAAAAATTAATGAAGGCAAACAAGGTGAATACTTTTTTCACAAACTGCCCCGCTTGTTCTTTAGCGACATCTAGCGACGGGAAACAAAAGAAATCGTCCATTTCCAGCTCCTCGTCGCAGCTTTCGTACTCCACGCGCTGTTCGTAGTGGATCTCCATCGAGTCTCCGCGGTTCTCCGGGCGCTTCATCCATGCCGGAGGGCTGATCTTCGGAAACGTGCCGTCGCTTAAGACGCGGTTATCGGACATCAACTGGTCCGAAGCATCGACGTATTCATCGTCGTTGTTGTCCGATTTCGACGAACTGCCGTCCGAATGGTCATCGCAGTTTCTTTTGACAATTATGTCAAACGGCTGAGGTGGCCTCTTGGTGCCATATTCAGCGGTGTCGTTTACGCAATTAGTTATTTCCATAATTTTTTCAAGTATACAGTTCGAACCCTAAATAGAAAATGGTACCGTTTGGGTGTCTGCGGTATTACGATCGCGAAAATGGAATTTAATAATTTAATGTACTGTTATAAAAATAGATATGAAAATTGAATAATGAATAAGGGTGATGAGACAGCGGTCTTCGTCGCCAAAATCTTTAAAGGGCACTTGGCACAGTACCGAAGTTTCGGCTAGAAATTGATCCAACTTCAACTGATATTAGATAGCACCAGTATGCAAAACAACAATGTCAACAAAGTAGTTTCATGCAGCGGAACGATTCTGAAGCATAAACATGAGCAACCAAATCCCGTTACGTACTACAGTTTATGCTGTCGGATTTTGATGAAATTATAAATGGCTCATCCGGATTCAGCACTTCAATCAATCTTCAATCTTTCATTACTAATTAGCATATAGTAGCAGTTTTTCTGTACGATGTCCAACGCCAGTTCGACTGAAATGTCAAACGGTTTCTTCTTGTCACTCATGCCGCTAACCATGGAGTCAGAAGGCAAGCAGTCAGCTACGAAATGGTACTGGTGTGAAACAAAATCAGTAGCTGGTTTGTGGCAAAAGACAAAGTCATCTTACCGCAGTATCAAAATTACCGAACCAAAAATGCTCGTAAGGGCCGGAATCCACTTAAATGACCGACGCTAATTTAACCGTATGTTGTACTGTTTCAGTCTATTGTTGCAACTACTTTAGAAGTGCATATTCTTCTGTTTACTCTTCTCCTGTTTCTTTCGTGTCTCAGGTGAGGTTGAGGCCAAAGTGCGCAAATCAGTGTTTGAAAAGTATATGGATTGTGATGAATGCCTTCTCTTTGTACCAGTTCTTTTCTTTTAGCTCCTTATTCTTTTCCTCTTCTTCCTTTTGTTCTAATTCGCCTTGACATGTTGTGCACAATAACAAGATCATTAGAGATCAACTATGTAATGCACGAGCTATGGCACTGTGCCATCACGTCCAAGTGGATAAACACAGATAAACAACTTCTAAAATTCCTGATGATGAATATTGTGACTAGATTCTGTCCGAAATGACGGCACAGGAAAAAGAGATTTTTCAGTGAATCTTCGTTGGCCTACAACCACTGTATCGGGAAACCTCTTTTTAGAACAGTTCTTTGGGGAAATTTTAGCATTAGGAACCTACTTCTTCTTTCTTCTGTTCCTGCTCTTCGAGAGACAAAGAGCAACAATTGTTCTTTTATACATCACTTGATTCAGTTCTCGCTTTTTTCATGGAAATCAGCATCTGATCAGGTTATTTGGGTATGACAATGTTGGCACTTTATGAGCATTCGAACTTTGTTCTTCTTCAAACGGACGAAGATCAAGAAAAAACGCGATACTCGCTACGAAATAGCCTATACATTAAAACCGCCGTACTTTACACTGATTTGAAGCATGTTAAAAGTTTATAACGCCAACACAGCGCATGTAGCAAAAAGACAGGAGTATAAAAATCAAAAGGATGAAGAAAACCAAATCACCACTGCCTCAAATGAGTTGTGTTGTAATGCAGGATAGCACAACAAAAATACCGAACTTGAGCTTCACAATACCCACATCATAGGTTTAAGGCAATGGTGATCAGCAACCCGACCGACGTATCACGGCCAAGACGCTAATCAACACCAACGAAGCAATAAAATCAGACATGCATAACGGATGCTCAGTGGTGGTGGTTTTGCAGCATGACGTAGAACGAAGAATCACTTAATTCTATTTCTTTACGCATAACTCAAATACGCCAACAGCTGAAAAAAAGGACAGTTACTTCTCACAGCTATTCACGGCGTTAATTTTGATTCATCATAATCAGCCTTTTCGATCCACTTCAGCATGAATGCCTCTCCAAGACTATTCCACTGACTTATGTTATCTGCTATTGTGATCAATTTTCATTCAGCCCATTTCTTCAGCTCTTCCTGCCATCGATCTGGAGGTCTTCTTGCAGGCTAACATTTCTCTGATCCAACGACGGTCCGGTCTTCCTGCTACGTGTCAAGCCCATTGTCACTTTAATTTCTTCGCTCGGGCAATGACATTTCACTCTTGTTTGTACTCTTACTCATTAGTCTTAAAATTTTTTTGTTCCTTCCAAAATACATTTTTAAATGCTGTTGCGCACTGCCAAGTTTATTAATACCTTTCAATCTTAGAGTGCATGTTTATCTCCCAGCACCGGAATCACACACTGATCGAACAGTCGACGTTTCAAGCACAAGGGCAGTTTCACGGATGAGAATGTTTCCAGTCTTCCAAAAGAGATACATGCCATTTTTGACTTTCTGTTAATTTTACATTGTCGATTCACCGTTGCAGATGAGCTGTATCAGATAAGAGTGTAGTTTTGCGCTTCTTTAAGCCACTGACTAAATTCACTACCTTCAACTTCTTAACGTTACATGAGTCTTCCTATTCATATATATATGTAGGCATTTTTACTCGTAACAGCTGATTTTGTGTCTGAAGAGCAAGTGCAGACAAAAAAGCCAGAAAAATTTACCCATTCCCTAGTTTGCTCTAGAGATGCAATGAAAAAATGAGAACAGAAGCAACAACCTTAAAACTGAATGCACTTGCTAGTGCAAGATTCACTGTTTCTGATCAGGCCTCACCAAAACACCACTGCTGTCGTTTAAAAAATCATTAGAAACGGTTCGATGGCAGTATGAACAAGAAACAGTTAAAGAATAAAAATACGAATTACTACATACAAAAATATATTACGGTTGGAGGATCAAAGTAACCGTCTGCAAAAGACGTCGATCATTCCAAGTTCGTCAACAATCACATTTGTTCAACCTGTTTATACAGTAGAGGATAACAACTATAGAGCATAAGGCTGACATAGTCGAAAAACATGAAAATCATTTTCTACATTAACGTTATTGCTGCTTCCATTAGTTCGCTTTGCTGGTGAATTTTTTTTTCGTGCCCTCTTCGATCAATAAATATAAAGAGTAGTTCCTAACCCGTTTCACAATATTTCTTGAACAGTGTCATTATCTATGGAAATCTAATCCTTTTTATCAAACCTTAACAGCAAGAAAATAGTGAGTCCTTTCCTTGCTTTTGTTTATTCCACATCACCTGTTCCATTTTACGTTCCATAAATTATGATCTCATTCATTCCTATCCAAGTCCCGATCCATGTGCTGTTTTTGGGTAACCTTCACAAGTGCAAGGGATAACTACTCCAGCTGCACTCCGCGCTGTGAGATGCAAGGTTCTTACGGATGATCGCTCCATTTCTAAGCGGTCAGAGCTGTCGCTCACTGATTGACTTAGTTTTATGCCATACAGAATCTAAATTTCTAGATTGAAAAATTTTAACTTTCTATAAGATTTAAATTATTCCTATTATCAGGATCCTGTGGAAACCCGGCTTACTGCAATTGTAATACTGACATTTACAAACTTTATTTCTTTGAAAATTTCCGAAGTCAAGCTATACAAAATTCATTAACTGAATATTTCAAACAGTCACTGATAAGTCACATTTTCACAGCTAATACCTTGTACCGATATAGCATGCGATCAAGTGAATCAAAGCATATTGCAGTCGTAAAATACATCTGTCAGACAGCATAATCATCTTCCATAAGTGCTATCATAACCTACTACAAGCCATTATGTCCTTTCTTGCCGGATTACGAATTGATTCCCATTTCTCATCTGGATTTGCAAACAACATTGCTAACAATAAATTGCGTAAATGAATTAACAAATAATAACAAAATATCTGCAGCGACAGTCTGTGGACATGTCTTCGTGCATACGGGACTGATGGCCTGCTGTTTAGGGCTATCCAATCATTGTATTCTGATAGCAGGTGCTGCGACAGAGTTAATGGCACTAAGTCGAAACCATTCAACGTTCGTATTGGTCACCTCCAAGGCTGCGTCCTGCCCCATATCCTGTTTGTGTTATATATGGATAGAATAGTCAGGAGTTGCCAAGGCGATGAGCGTATCGGTGTAGGAAATGTGAACCCGAGAAGGTTGCTGTTTGCAGACGACCTTGTTTCATTAGCATCTTCTGAAACTGATCTTCAGTGCTCCTTAGAAGGGTTTGCAGCGGAGTGCGACTTGACCGGCATGCGTGTGAACGCATCTAAAACGAAAAGCTTAGTGCTTTCTCGTTCTCCTGCCCGTTGTTCTCTTCAGATTAACGGAGAAGCAGTGGAGCAGGTGGAGAAGTTTAAGTACCTCGGAACTGTATTTAGTTGTGATGGAAAGTTGGAGGAAGAGATCGACCGGCGAACTGGAGTAGCCAGTGGCGTTCTGCGTGAACTTGCCCGACCCACTGTGACTAAAGCAGAGCTCAGTCTGAAAACTAAGCTCTCAATATTCAAGTCGATCCTTATTCCCATA